ACATCTGTGACGAATAACAGACGGCTTTGTTCGCCGGCTACGGTTGCCGTTAACGCGTGCCGGCTTGGAAGTTTCCCGAATTGTTTTCGAATCAGTCGGTTTCGTGTTGGGAAAATTGCAGGGTTTTCTGCAATTTCTGGAAAACTTTCCATACTGGTTATGATACCAGCACCAGTCGGGGTTATCTGTCTCTCGTGGTCTAGAGACAGATCGCTTACGAGAAATGCTTCTACGTGGTGTGCGCGATCTCTTACGGTCGGTACGAAGACTAAGATAACGCGTGAGTGTGTGACATAAGTCGGTTATGTCATTCTGAGTCGTGTGAGGCTTTTCTTTGACTGAAAATACCTCGGTAGTAGGTTTCGTAATTTCTAGAATGCGGTCGGCAGATACAGCTAGTTCGTCTAAGGCGTTGTTCTGGAACGAGACCAGAACTGCTTGCACCTGTTGGGGAAGTTTTGACAAGAAGAGTTGTTTGAATAGACCTTCGTCGAAAGTTCTTGGGCCTATAACCTCTCTCATCCGTTGCAACATGTCCGTCGCAGAACCGTGTTGCAGGTCGATATTGTTGAAGAGTTGATCTAACCTTTGTCGATCGGTTAGGTCTCCTCGTTTAAGAATCGAGCGTTTTAAGATTTCGTAAGGATCGGAAACATCACTAGTAAACATACTAGGTGTTACGTACCTGTTGAATTCCCGCGGCAGTGCCTTGACTACTGCGAGGAATTGTGCACGTGTGTCGATCACGCCGTGCTCGGAGAAGTCGGCTTCTGCGTAGCAAAACCAGGCTTCGATGTTGTCGGGCCAGAAAGGCATCAGTTGAAACGAAGGTGGGGACAAGGTCTTAAGCTTGAGTACTTTAGGTGTCTGTTCAGTCATGATGAAATATGAAGTACGATAATGAACGAGGGGAAAATATATATATATATCCAAGAAAAAACACGAAAAAAAATCACAATGTTTAAAAAAAATAAAAAATAAGGCAATGATATATAAAAATCCCAAAAAGGAACAGACTCACAGTTGCAATAAGGTGTACCAGATCACGACGGTCTCACCAATGATGATGTCACAGGTATTCAGTGTTTGACAACGCTTCTACCAGTAACACCTTCTAATATATTTCGTTCCCACCAAGAGAAATCAAAAGACAGAGTCGAGGAGATCGGAAGAGTATATTTGGCGATGACCAATATATCGGGATTCTCTGATCTAATCTGGCTAGCGATTGTGGTTGATGTTGAGCACGGCGTTACTACACGTGATCTGGTGCGGATGCCTGACCGAGCGCCTTCAGCTAGATGAGTCCACTAAAACATATGGTCAGCATCCAATGTCGAAAACTTAGTGCTATTTATTTTGGGGATTTATTTACCGCTACAGGTTGAATACACGGAAGCAAACAAGCAAGTGCAGAGAAGCATTAGAGAAGACAATTAGAAATACATGGAAGAGCTAACAACGACAGCGGGAAAAGTTGCAAGTGAAGGAAATATGAAACAACCACATGACACAGCAAAGAAGCGGGCAGGAAAGAGTAGTAAGACAGACAAAGCGGTCAAGTATAAAGAAGGCAAGTCAGTTACTTAGATTTAGGAACAACGAAACAGGTGGGCAGAACACTTTAAAGAACTCTTAAACAAACATTCCCCACTGAACCCAGCTCCATTGAGTCCACTGGACATCGAAGTAGCGCAAACAGACCTTCCTATGGATGTCACACCACCAACGACGGAAGGAATGAGGATGGCCAAGACCTCACGATATACCAGCTGCAGCAATGAAGTCAGACATAGAAGTGATTGCAAGTGTGCTCCACGTTCTATCCATGAAGATTTGCGAGGAAGAACAAGTGCTGACGGACTGGAAAGAAGGACATCTCATCAAGACACCAAAGAAAAGAAATCTGAAGAGGTGTGAGAACTATAGAGGCATCACACGACTGTCAGTGCGAGGAAACGTTTCCAACAGTGTTGCTGAACCGGACGAAAGATTCAGTAGACATCCAGCCTTGAGATCAGCAGTCTGGATTCCGTAACGATCAGTCGTGGATAGACAAATCGCGACACTAAGGATTACTTTTGAATTTGTCACTATACATCGACCTCCTTGACTGTGAGAAAGTGTTTAACAGCACGGATAGGAGAATACTATGGAACGTTTTTCGACACTATGGTGTTCATGGGAAAATCGTCAATATCATCCAGAATTCATACGAAGGACTACGATGCGAAGTCATGCATAGCTGACGGAAGTATTCTAGGTGAGGACTGGAGTCAGACGAAGCTGCCTACTCTCTCCCTTCCTAGTTCTTCAGGTGACTGACTGAACTATGAAGACCTTGACATCTGAGGGAAGCACGAAATACAAAGGACATGTTGGATGCAACTAGACCATTTTGACTTTACAGATAATTTGGCCCTTCTGCCCACACACACGAACGAATGAAGATGAAGACAACTAGTGTAGAAGCAGTCTCTGCAGCATTATGCTACAAAATACACAAGGGAAAATCCAAGATCCTTTAATACACGGAGAATACCAACCTTATAACACTTAGTGGAGAAACTCTGGAAGAGTTGGAAACGTTCACGTACCTGGTTAGCAGCATCATTAGTCTACAAGAAAGATCCGATGCAAATGTATAAGCAAAACAGGGGCAGCATTCCCACGAATATCGTGGGCCCGTACTGAACCACATTAACAAGATACAGCATACAGATGCAAAGGAAATGCACGAACTATTTAAAGACTATATTTATTATTTTCTCATGAAAGTTTAGTTACTCGCTCCACATAGAGAGCGTAATTCCATGTACACGGAACAGCTCGATTGTAAGTTATCACAGGTTGCTAAACTTATCGTCTTGTTTGATTACTCGAAATTATAAATTCACTTACAGAGCAAAATCTGAACCTCCTGGGTTAAATTCACCAGAAATTTACTCTACAAATTACCTCTCAAAACCACGTTATCACAATTAATTGACGATGAAAACATTTGCTCAAATATGACGTGTATCTGACCCTAACTGACAATAGGATCGACCAGGAAAAAAATAAACCGATAGGATTCCACAGTACGCAGTATTGCATTAGAAAACTTATAATTGAACTAACAATACTATTCAGATTAGTGGAGAATAACTACAGAGAATCGTAAACACATTCGGCTCACCATGACAGTATATGTTTTCCTATCTTCATTAAGTCTCACACAGCTATGCATAAAAAACATTTTACTTACACTGTAGATAGTCATATAACATCATGTTCAAATTATTTATCCATTAGCTTTACAGATTCAAATACTAAAACCATCAAAGTTCTCTACAAAAGTATTCTCACTAACTAGATCAAACATGTCGATCGATGTACTTTATCCAATTCAGTTAAAAAAAAATACACCACATTATTACAACAAATGGATTATGGAAAATGAAGTTATTTTAATTCTCATTTATTCATATGGAATCACTGAAATTCCGTAGTCTTCCTAAAGGAAAAGACTACCACCTTTCGAAAATTTGGATGAATACAAAGACTTCTATAAAAACAGAAATTACCAAATCTTTTTAAAACGTACTCTAGTAGACATAACTGAACCAACGGAGGAAAGTGTAAGACACTATGAATGCAAGTAGAGGTAATGTGCCGTAATGTTCTTCAAGCAATTACCACTTACTGAAGGGCAGTAAAATTGTACAAACTCGTTAGACGCTGTGAGTCACATAACCTGTGGTTGAGAGTGACAATCGTTTAAAACACCACACCACTATTCTTGAGCTTTTATTGTGTTATACGTATGGAAACCTCAACTCCCACGTCGATAAATCAGGATGGTCTGATCCACATGTAAAGAATTGGTAAATTAAGGGCAACATTCCTACAACTGAAGAACATATAGAATTCGAAGCAAACTCAAGCAACAAATAAATATATGGATTAGTGTTCAACGTTCGGTTTATCGCAAAAGCACTTGCAATCGTCTTTACTTAGATTTCAATAGATTCTGTCCAATCAGTTGTAAGAAAGCGTTAGTCAAAGCACTATTTTATAGAGTAGAAAAGATACGTTGAGAAATACCTGTGAGACAACTGCTGCTCACGGAAATTCATCAAAAAGTATAAAAGAAAACCCGAAAACAACAAGACAGATGTGACCACAGTCAGTAAAAAACCAATATTTATGAATCCGAGCTTCAAAGATGAAACGTCGCAAGCACATTCAACACGAAGCTTATCACTGAGTTAGCAAGCACCTACCCTGAAACCAAACTAGTAATCCTGTATAAACCATGCTTAATAACCCGATCTAAGGTCGACAAGTAACCCTTCCACTACACCATCAATTGTGTCTATAAATTTAAAAGAACTTGTCGAAGCAGCTACATTGGGCGAAAACAGGAGGTATACATTAGATTTTATGAACACGTCACGAAAAACCTTCAAACAACAGAAAGAGCCACTTTACATACCACAATCACTAAACATCTCTTGAACATAGGAACAATCAGTGTGTTTTATTCCTTTGTGGAGTTTCGAATTTATTTAGGTCATCAAAATTTGCAATCACTAGAAGGCATTTTGGCTCGTATCAGTGAAAAATAGTACTATAAGCAGGTAGGAAATAGCAATAAATGTGAGTTCTGTTTACCCCAAACACTTGCATGTATAAAGCAAATGTGTAAGTTAAAACATATTGCATTACACTCTTATCATCACTTTAAATTCTGATGTTAGTCAAGAATTCAATGCGCCCTACGATTAAAATTGTCCAGATAAGCAGGTGGGATTCAAAATGACAAGTTAATTCCTATCTTACATCTACACTAAGGTTCACACAAGATTCAGAAGGGCCACACTGAACTGATTAGGCGCAGATCAAGCATTACCACAGCCTTCGAATAGCATTTCCCATTCAAGTAAAACTGATCTCAAGAGTGACAGATGGATTTCATATCAAAAATTGTTTCGTATCCACTGATTGGAAAATGCAACCTTCAACATGATAAATATTTCGATTCTCTCTTCCTTTCGTTCCATAAAACCTGTAACAAAATATTTCATTGACGTTGTAGTGAGAAGCGGAAAATGAGAAAACCACTTTCCTCAATAGTATCGTCTAAGCATTTGAAGAAGATTAACAATTAAGTCGAGTGCGACCATGGTATTTATGAATAATCTAAAATGCACATCTAATATATAATTCCTGCTCGATCTTTTATAAATAATACCATTTGCTGTTAAATGATAGAGATCCTTACATTTATTTACAAATGTAAACCGTGCACTAGTAGATGTCTTCGCAAAAACTAGAGAAGAACTATTTTCACAGTCGTTCCCTGCTGTTGTTTAGGTCTATCTATCAAAACAACTTTCCACCCCAACGGAAGAGACTTCATCGACAGTAGTTCATAGCTTATGGGAAGAAAAAAGTGTACAATAAAAAGTGACTTATATAAATTACTGTGAAATATTAGTCATTTAAGCAAAATGAATAAAAGGACTCCAGAAAATGTTTTACTGTTTCGCATAAGTAAGACTATGACAATTTATGAGCTCAGTGGTATTTGCATGTCATTAATTTAACACAGCATTTAGTAATAAAGAATATTTTCAAATTCTACTTCTGACTAAATGATACCCATTCGTCGATAAGTGCTTCCGAAGTTTTCCACACATGATCGCAAATTTCATCATTTAATGCTTGGGAGTTACATCTGCGTGGCCGACACTCAGAATAAAATGCACCGGGAATGAGATTGTTATCAAGAGCACAAAATACTGTTGTCTGAGCACCTTCACGGGATGTTTTTGTCAACCATCGAAATAAATAGTAGACTAGAAACTAAAATTGAAAAAATCTTAGTCGAACAGTAAAAGCTAATTAGTTTACAAATGCGCATCAATACATTATAAATTCTCTCAAACACATGCATTTCATCACATATTAATCAGTAAAATCGACGTAAACAGCTTCACTGTAACAGTTCCGAAATACTGTCCTACATTCTACGATAAACAGGTAGATGCATGTACACGAGTACGCAGAAACAAATTGACCACTTATTTACCTCTCAACAACTACATTTATATTACTATTTATTCAAACACACAAATATTGTTACAAATGGCCACCAAAGTAGATGTGCGTTACACAGATAAGACAATAAGATTGTGAGGTAAAAGAAGGAGAGGAAGTATGACCAACTAAGTAAATGGCAGTAAAGGAGAATAAATTATGATAGGAGAGACGGATCAATTTAACAGATCACAATTAGAACGAATTCTTTTAGGTGACGAAGTTCCTCTCACATTTTGAAGTATAAAAGGAAATTACAGCAAGATCGCCACTGATTCCTGTTATGGCTCATATATGATAACGTATTAACACAAAGACGGCCCAGATTGACATAAACCACTTTGAGTTCTAATATTTGTAGATTTACAAACACACAAACATCTACAACCACAGAGGGATTAGTTTAACAAACACAGTATCTAAAATACTGGCCTCGATAATTATCAAACGCCTAACTAAGACTCGTGAACTACAAACACGAGAGAACCAAGCTGGCTTTAGACCTGGTCGTGGCTGCATCGACCACATATTCACCATTCGTCAGGTTCTAGAACACAGGCATACCTATCGGCGTCCGACGATGGTGGTCTTTCTTGACTTAAAAGCAGCATTTGACTCTGTAGACCGCGAGACTCTGTGGCAGTGTCTGTCATTGAAAGGCGTACCTCAGAAGTACATAAACCTTGTGAAGGCTCTTTACTCGAACACTACTAGTCGAGTCAGGGCTTATGGCGAACTGTCATTTGCTTTTGCAACCTCAAGTGGTGTCCGTCAAGGCTGCCCACTTTCTCCATTTTTGTTTAACTTCATCATAGACCTATTGATGGAAATAACACTCTCGTCGACTGAATTCTCGGGTATTGATCTCCTTCCAGGAGGTCCACTTATCGACTTAGAATATGCAGATGACATAGTCCTGTTTGGTGAAGACGCTGACAAAATGCAGAGTCTTCTGGTAGCACTAAGCAACAATGCCAGAATGTTTGGGATGCGCTTCTCTCCCTCTAAATGCAAGTTGTTGCTTCAGGACTGGTCTGCGTCAACACCTGAACTAAGGATAGGGAGTGAAGTAGTCGAACGTGTTGACAACTTCACTTATCTTGGAAGTCTGATCAGCCCTAATGGGTTGGTGTCTGACGAAATCTCAGCACGGATTCGTAAAGCTCGTTTGGCTTTTGCCAACTTACGTCACCTTTGGCGGAGGCGAGATATCCGTCTATCAATAAAAGGACGAGTATACTGCGCGGCTGTCCGTTCTGTTTTAATTTACGGCAGCGAAACATGGCCCTTAAGAGTAGAAGACACCCGTAAGCTACTAGTATTTGACCACAGATGCCTTAGAAATATTGCTGGCATCTGCTGGGATCACCGGGTAAGTAATAGTGAGGTTAGACGCAGGGTATTAGGGAATGATGGTAAATCAGTTGATGAGGTTATGAATCTTCATCGACTGAGATGGTTGGGCCACGTATTACGTATGCCTGAACACCGATTACCGCGACGTGCAATGCTAACCGGTGTAGGGGATGGTTGGAAGAAAGTTAGGGGCGGCCAAACCAAAACGTGGCATCAGTGCCTGAAGTCACTAACTTCTAGTCTGAGCCATGTTGGTAGATGCAGACTACTTGGTTGGGGTCCGCGTGACTTTCGTAACCAATGGTTGGAGACCCTTGGTGACATGGCTCAGAATCGATCACAATGGCGTCGGTGTATACACTCTCTGTCTTCTCTTAAACTAAGAGATTAAGATCACTTCACATCTTTCTTTCTACGAACTAATTCTTTCTTCCTATACTATATCCTTATTGCAATCTTTCTCCTATATATTACCACCTTTGACCTAACCACTCCTATGAATCCAGTGTTCATCTTGCTGTGCTAATGAGGTATGGCAACCTGGGCCGATGCATACATGTGCCTGGTCCTACGTTGTAGCTGACTGACTGACTGATTTGTAGATTTATCTCATCAGCCACACTACCACCAACGCCCGAACACCCCTAAAGGTTCACTACAAACAGTGAATGTGGGAACAGGGTTTTGCTAGTCTTCCAAAAGCACTTTGTATCTTAAAAGGCCCACACACATTCCATACCTAAGAACATTGATCGTCAACTGATTAGGTGCGATTTGAATAGTTGGGGTATCATCGTACCACCACATTTGTTTTAGGAGTTGTGATGCACGATAGTCGATAATGTTGATGAGACCTGGAAGGTTTTGTTTCAAACATAAGAAATAACAGTGTTCAGATGAAATTATACGGTTTTCCGTATCATTTAGGAATATTACTGTTGTCTAGCAATACATAAAAGGAACGGGGAATTCGGTGGAACTGGTTACTTAGGTTGTAATTGCGCGAGCATTTTGGATTGACAAAGAGACCAGTAGCTTGAACCCAATCAAAGTGTCTATTCCACAAATTTCGAGCATTCCTAAAAACACTCACAACCATGAGGAAGTAGGAATTCCCTTTCTATTCAACGTTGTTTGTAGAACATTCGTCGAAAGAATTCCGATTCAAGTCTTCAATTTGTATAAATTTCACTAACAAACTCATCACTTAATCCTTGTCTAGTGGTGATCACTTCGTCATCTTTCCATTCTTCGGTAACCACATTTATTTACTATTGCTGTGCTAACTGTACGGACAGAGTTGGAGCCAACGTCATCATCAGCTGTTTGGTAGTAATCTTCGTCAGATTTCGCAACATCACAGTTTAGTTCACAGTGGAGATCAGTTAACTAAACCTCAAAAGAGAGTTTGTTTGAGATTTTTGCCGTAAATATGGAATAATTATGTAATAAACATTCGGGTCAACATAAACAGGCATCACTTAACCACACACGGTATGTATAAACAAGGAGTTCGCTTTATAATCAAAGGAAAAACACTGGATATAACACATAATACAAACATAAACTCACATATTTCCCTTTGCATGAACGAAAAATGGATGTTCTCACCAAGCCTGGATGAACGCTGACCGAAATAATCCCATCTCCAGACCAACGTTTACAAATCTCACGTGCATGAATCACATTTAACAGCTTACTAATAGCATAACCAGAGCCTACACCTGACAAGAATCCGCTATTCGGGTGTAATTTAGCAAACCAATGTGACAAAGATGACAGAATGACTACACGACAAGGTTTCCCACCAGATGCATGCAAACACGGCTTTAATAATTTAGTGAGCAGAAAATGACCCAAATGATTCACTTTCAAGTGTTTCTCAATTCCAAGCTCATCGTAAATCTTCTCTGGAAAATCTGCCCCAGCATTATTAATTAAGATGGAAATTGATTTTTCTCTACTAATGATACGATTCGCAAACTCTCGAATAGATTTTGGCGACTCCAGATCTAACTCTTCACAAATAAGCTATTGAAAACGAGATAATAATTACAAGGTTTACTCATGGCTCAATAAAAATCTTTCAACAAACAACTTTAAACAACAAATAACATCGACTAAATAAAACCTAGGGAGTCACTGAAGATGGTAGTGGAGCGGTGAAATAGTGGTTTAAGCACTCGAATTACAGACAATACATAACAGGTTTGGATCCTGCTCCATCTAATTTCATCTGGACATGATAACCATGAGTAAATAAACATCACGTTAGTAAAACAATCACAATTAACATACTTGATCTGGTTCCAGATGAACACTCAATACTGATGGCTTCTCATTACAAGTTCTAGTCAGAAGCTCCTGTCGAGCCAATTCGCACTTCCTTAGATCTCTGCATGCCATTATAACGCGGGCCCCACGGCGAGCCAACTCATCCACCGTTTCTAATCCAATACCAGTATTGCATCCCGTAACAATAACTGTTCTCCCATCCAAACGATCTTCAAGAGTACACTCACAATGACCGAAGTATTTTCTCTTAATGATATACAATGTACTAACAGCAACAACAATCCACATGTATGGACAAAGGAAACATACAGAAACATAGGAGAACAACTGATCCATCCTCAAATTTGTTCTTAAAACTGAAACAGAAATTCTATTATCTAAATTCACTTTCAAACATGTAACGTAAACATAGTTTATACAGCAAACAGACGGGTTTCTAGAATACTTGGACTGATTGCTCGATTGTCGTGTCTATGTTAAATGATTCAAACTCCTAGATTGGTCCTCGTCAATTCAAGCCCCGTGTCACCTAGACGAGATATTTATCTGCCAGCTAAAGAACCAGCTTAACCCATAGCACTTCTTTGCGCTGCTTAATTGGTGTGAGACGTGGTCACCAAGAACAGAAGATATTTCTAGGTTACTAATAATTGACTACAGATGTCTTCGAAGCACCTATGATGTATTTTGGGATCTGACTGAGAAATCGTGGGGTTATGTGTAGGCTACCAGGCAAGATGGTGAACCCATCGATGACGTAGTGGAATTTCACAGATTGAGTTGATTGCAACACACTTTACGTATACCTAGCTACCACCTACCTCGGTGAGTGATTTTATTTGACGCAAGAGTAGACTGAGAGAAAGCTAAGGCCCACTACAAGACGTAGCACACTTCTCAGTCAGTCAGTCAGCTACAACGTAGGACCAGGCACATGTATGCATCGGCCCAGGTTGCCATACCTCATTAGCACAGCAAGATGAACACTGGATTCATAGGAGTGGTTAGGTCAAAGGTGGTAATATATAGGAGAAAGATTGCAATAAGGATATAGTATAGGAAGAAAGAATTAGTTCGTAGAAAGAAAGATGTGAAGTGATCTTAATCTCTTAGTTTAAGAGAAGACAGAGAGTGTATACACCGACGCCATTGTGATGCACACTTCTATGAAGTCATTGACAACCGGACTGAGTTATGTTGAAGGGTTTAGGATACTTGGTTGGAATCTATGCGATCACTTTGTTAATGCAGTATGGCGACTCGAACCGATGCACTGGCGTACCAGGTTTTGCGTCTCACAATACCGACTAACTGACAGCCCTATTTAAAGGAGGCAAAACTGTAGATGAACATTTATATATCCACCAACAATCGATCCACTAGACCTTAAACACATGATTCGAAAAGTAATCCAAACTCATACTCAAAAATATGCGATTTTCTTATCACATTGATGGGCTGGTTCGAATATGTTGAACTAGGCACTAGTTGATATAAGTTAATAAATAACTAAATGGACATATATAATCTGAAACATCAGATCAATCAACCCGACTAACTAAAAACATAAATTACTGAGTTGTATATCTGCCTGTTTCTGACAGTCTTCATATTATGTGTATTACGTTGGAGCCTCTGAAAATTCCTAGCTGATATTTAGGCCTGATGAACAACAGAAATCCATGTTGTCGAATGTCGAGAAACTGCCACTGAAACCTACTGATAAGCCTCGATCGCCTTTCGAAAGGTTTAGGATAAATAATTCCTGGTTCAACTAAACATCAGGAATCAAGCAAACAATAGAAATTTGACATGTGCTTCTAATAAAGTGTTGGAAGTGCATATTACAGACAAATGAGCCTCAACAGGCCAATCAATGCAGAGCTCAGTACAAATATGCATGTATATGCTCAAAATACAAAAGTCTCCATATGATTTTAGTGTTGCAATGTTTCGTGTGTTTCACCAATCTGCAAATGACTAGCAGACAACCTACGCTCCTAAACTTCAAAAAAATAAAATCGAATTTTCTGAGTTTGTAAACTATTTCAATGTTTTCCGACAGATAATGTAGATCTGAGGCAAGGCTGCGACCATGTTGTGTGTGCGTTGTGTACTAAGTGAGCAGGCAGAGTAGTGTGAGTGGAGTCATCTGCAAAGTAGAGAAACAGGAACGAAATGTGACTTGACGACCCAGCAAGCACACACAATGCACTTACTTTCAATAAGAACTCTAACGAACAATAATCAGTAAGAACACAAGCCTCAGATTAATACGATCTGGGAGTCGAAACTAGTAGCCGATAGTTTAAACTGTTACAGTGCACTTTACTTGATTCGGTTGGGCAGCGAGGTTGAATTACTGGTTCATAGAAAAAACAGCGTAGCTCAAAGCCTACTACGCAAACTTGCCAGTAACCTACATAGTTATTGAAAATATTAAATCCTACTAATCAATGCAACTCTAAAGAATTCCCGAACGGTTGGTTTTACATAGTTCTCTTAGTAGTTGGTGATATACACTGAAGAAATTATTAACATGAAGTGATACATTAAAAATGATTCTCGTTCACCTTATGACCATGTTTATATATAGCGACAATCACTAGTCAGACAAATGCAAAAGTATTTAACAACTCTTTGAGACAATATAGGAAACCTCACTCAGTAGGTGCTAGTCACCATTATTTGTCGGAATCACTTCCAATTATATGCCTAGAGGCCGTCTAAAAGGAAACAAAACAGCACACCAAGGCGGTATATATGCACATTTTATCCAAGAGAATAGAAAATATCAGAAGGCTCTTCATATTAGTCAACCAACCAAAACACCGTTCTATGTTTCCGGCTTATCTAACGTCACTAACATAGTTAATGTCAACAACGAGTGTAAAGTGAGTCGAAAATAAAGATACTCAACATTCAAACAAAGCTTAATTCGGAATATGGCATTGCGAACTGAATGACAGCATCGATTATAGGAAACCGGTGGGATACATCGCTGAAGTAATTCCGAATAAAACATGGACCGAAATGCGAGGGTGAACTCAAACCGAAACATGTAAAATGCTCACGATTCCTATCAAATTCGTTCCAGCCTCAACACACCTCTTGTACGCATTTTATGTTTGGTCCCTTAAAATTCCTAACTGAGCTAGACCAGCTAAAATTATCCCTGTTAGTACGTTAATTAACTGCACGAAAGTATATTAAAGCTTAAGCCTTGTAATTGTAACCCATGACTTTCAATTTACTTCGTATTTCGAAAGTATCGGATGGTAGCACGTCTGTGGAATGAAGTGCAAAATTTGGTGTAATTGTAATGAACTTACTGATAGAATTAGGATCTAGGCATAAGGCGTTTTATAGTTTCATAGGGCTAAGTGCTATTGTATAAGCGTTTAAGAGTTGGGATCTATGGTGTAGGAGTTTTGGGACAATAAGATAAGGTCTTAAAGATTGAGGGTTGAAAATTGGGTTTTAAAGAGTGTAAAGCCATACGCCTTGCTAGCATTGGTTGAAACAAATAAAGAGAGAATTGAAGCAATTCCCGGGGAATCAAGAGCTCTTATACGTATGCTACATTCTGACCGGCTACTTTTGAACAAAAGTCGTCAAGGTCGTCCAGGAAATCTTTCAAGGTCGTCGGTTTAGTGTAGTTTAACCCCTCCTGACGTCAGTGACTAGTGTGAGTTTATAGATATCGCACGACCTAAACTTCAAAATATCATAGTTTACGCGTACTAGAAACTACTCGTGTCTTCATGAATGTCACATAAGTTAAGACCTTGTTTCCACTACATGCTCCCACATGTTCTACCACTTAATTCGGAAAGGATTGCCAAAAAATCAAGTTTTCTTGCCTCCTGCTAACAATATTCTCCTTCATCGATCACGAAACGTCCATGAACAATCACACACACACGATCATAAGTGATCCTAAAAGAATTTATTCAATGTTTTGTACAATACAAAGAGACATCGTGGCTGTTCAAGCGATTGGACTTGAAATGCGATCTATGGGTTTTAGTACTAACCATCTTTCAATGGTCGGTACGAAAAGATTAGTTTACGTAACGAATTTCATTTGTTGATGATTCGATGCAAAAGTCTTTAGTCAACTGACAAATGATTCGTTCTGTAGCATCGACGTGTCCATGGGCGTTGAATATTGGACGTGAGGTTTGAAAACCTTCGACAGATATCTCACAGCATTGTTCAGTGCTCTTCAAGTCTCGCCTAAACATGACTATCAGGTCATCCTGTGTCTGGATAGCATGTAGCTCGACGTCACTCACTGTGTGTGTATCAGTTCTTCTGTGACCAATATACAACATAATACACCTGGAATCATTTGTCGAAAGCTGCCAGATTCTAGACCACTCAAATTACTTCCGTATGTCATTTTGAAGCTCAACACTGTGCTCACCATTTCTTACCGCCCTCCACACCTTGATCTCGTCTGCAGATAACAAAACTAATGATTTCAGGACACATGGAAAGTCATTTGCGTGCAGAAGAAAAGCACTAGTTCGAAGGTTGTACCCCACAACACTGCAATGAGCACAGTTCCCCAGCTAGATCACTTGGACTTGACCCGCACTCTTTATTGACGTCTAACTAAAAAATTCTTCACCTAGTAAGTAGGTCGCTCCCAATGCCTGTGTCACGTAACCTCATCAATAGTCTAACTGAAATGGATGAAGGCTGGATCCCGAGATGGCTTCTGGATTTTTAATGGCACAGCAACTTTCACGAGCTATCAATAAAGCAGTGAGACATGAATGACCTGTCTTAGAACTATGCTACATTTTCGGAAAGAACCAGATCCTCGTAGAAATACTCAGACAACTGTGAATCATTTCTTATCGCTCCTTAGCAATCACTTTGGTTGAACTTGCGGGCCGATAGTTCATATGATTTTGTCTCGCACGTATTTTGAATACGAGACATAATATGACATTCTTCAATTTGTTTGGTAGTCTACTTTGTATTACTGACACATTACAGTATATACCTGATGAATTTTCGATAAAGCTAGCGGGCCATCGTGTCCCATGAACTTACATATGTTAGGTTTGTTTAATAAATAAAAGTCATCGAGTGTGAATGGGGAGGGTTGTCTGAACCAGGATAAGGGAGATCTTTGGTATACCCCGTGTTTTGTAAAGATAGGATTGAGACAGAAGGGTAAGAACATAACGCACCTGTTGCGAAATGAAAATTAGCATTCGGATTAACGTGCTAATTAGGAATTCCTGAAACAGTGCACTTTTAGTCAGACGGTACTAGATGAGCACAAACGAACGCATTGTATTTGGAATCCGGCATCAGCAGGCATTCAAGTGCAAAATAATCATTACTTCGTTCAGATACCGCACGTGAGCTCTAATGTTACTAATATCGGCAGAGTCATGTGTAGTGCAAGGATAAAGAAAAATTATGATTATATCTGTCAGTAAGCTCACAAGCGATTTGGTATTCTACATAAATCGTCGGTACCAATTCACTGCCGATGCAGTTCCCTGATTGTGGCTAGTTCTAGGCATCTGAGAATACCGTCCATGCAACGTTTCAAGATGAGAGTAATTCGATAAACAATAGTTTGCGTCACAGAAAGAACACTCGAAGTATCTCCTCAAAATACTTCATCGAACAGTATAGTCTTTCCTTTAATCTTTCTGATCTGTACTTTTAGTTCCATCAACACCACCTCAACCATGGTTCTATGCTCATCAGTCTTCTTGGACCAAATCTTTATCGCTTGACTTTGGTTAGGATTAACCTCTATTACTTCAACTTGTTGTTGGGTGTCATACAGCTATCGACAATAAATCTTGTCTGACAGAAACGAAATTAATGAAGTAGGCAGTTGTTCATTAATGGACTTTGATGAGCCTGTCGGAACGGTTAACTGTAACTTTCCAGATGAATATTTGATTACATTTTTGGGAATTTTCCTTTTGATTCTCTGCTACTCGATCGTTAGTCCTCGACCTTTTCGGCTCGGTCGTAACTATTACCTTGACGTGTTGGTCTGATTTGCTTATCTTCAAGACTCAGGAGAGAAGTACTGGTTGCAACACATGTTTCTTTATGTCGCTTGTGGAACTTTGATACCAAAGACAGTAATTTCGGGTTAAAGAGCTCATCCGTACTGCTTACTGTAGACGGTCGTGATGGCGGCAAGGTGCTTAACTCAGACAACCAGCATCTGTAGGGATGCTGCCTCCTAATAACGAAAGTAGGAGGACAGAAAGGGTCGACTTTGAAAGTTTCATACCTCACGTTACCCCTAAGGATTTCCGTCTACGGTAGTAAGGTCATTTGAAGTGCGGAGTTAATCCGTCAAAATCTTTCCATAAAGGACCATGAGCGACCAACCTCAAGCAGTTATTCCTTGGGCTCTGCAGTCACGCTCTCAGGTCGCTAAGACCACCCCTAACTCAGTCTCCCCTTCAGGCCCCTCAGGAAAATACATCCTTCCACAGTATAGGCAGCCGGGAAGTAGTGACCGCCTTCATACATCTGGAGGCACACAGGGTCAACTTGTTCGCGATCCTATCTCTCCCTCACCTTTTAGTAATTCTCCTATCCTCACAGTTAATCTCTCCTGTGTGCCCTAATAACACGCACTCTCAAGGCTAGTGATTTAAACCTACGGAATATTATTCCTGGACTATTGAGATCACGCTTCAAACTACGCGTTAAGGCTTTTGATGTTCGAAACTGGTGTCATGTGGAACAATAGGTTTTTTAGCTGAGACTGTAGATTTCGTTTGTTAAATTTAGCCATAGACATGTCTTTATAGATGGCGCTTTCATCATCTGACTTTTCTGGGGTTGACCTTTGGCCAGTATATTCTTTTGTTGAAGGTTTTGTGAGAACTTTCACAAAATACAGTAGTTATTGGAGTCGTTCCCATGGCCTAGTTTCGAGACTGATAAATTCTATTGATGTGTCCACTACTTATAGCAAATTTTTCCATAAACGTATCGTGTAATGTTAATGATCATATTCTTAAATAGCAGTTGAATAATGTGTTTGAAGTCTCAGTGCTTTTTCCGAAAAATTGGTTTCTTTTTGACACTCCAGTTTCGAATTGAAGTATACTTTACCGAAAAGTCAATCGAATCTGGAATAGTGGCTGTTGACTTCCTGGTAGAAATATGTTTTGCAACACCGGATCATTTGCACCTGATTAAGAGTTATTTTAAGAGCGTACCAGTATTTATTCGTTAAGATGCCTAAATTTGATAAACATAACCGGTTCAAAGATGACACAGTTACTCGGTTTTCGACAACGCCTTTACACGTAACAACTTTATAATCTAAATGTATCAACCTAGTCAAGTCATAAATCAAAAATGAATAGGTTCGAATACATATTTGGAAAGCTACGGATATATCGGGAAGCGTTTGGTCTAATGTGGCTGGCAGTCGAACGGCATACCCACTTGTGATTTGGTGACGATGAGTGACCAAGCGATTTCATCTAGTGCTTGTACAGTAAAACCAATGAGGTCAGGATTAATAACGAAGACATACAGGACTATTTGTTTTGAGAATTTATTTACCGCCACAAGTTAAAGTGATGTTGGATAACTGAAGGAATTCTTCAAATTACAGGAGAAAGTGATTGACTTTTAATGGGAGAAGTCATAAAGTACAGATAGAACTTAACTATGCGTAAATTTTAACGTGATTTATGAGTTTCTGAAGTCAAATGTGGTCCCAGTTTGCAATCCTAACTCTGAATCCCTTGGTAACGTCATTTTAAACACTTCTGAATATAGTATGCTTGTTTTGTTTACCGAGTAACACTCACTTAACTGACTTGGCTTCAACAAGTATCTTATTAAAATTGATCATCGAATTACTGGGTTTAAATATTATTTTAGAGACCAGGGACATATGAAATCAGGTAACATTCGCATCAATGGTCAATTCAAATTAGTTATCTGATAAAGATTATTTTGTAGCCCAAACACTCCTGGACGAACGCAGTAGCTATGTGCAGAGTGAAGTTCACATACGTCTCAGAGTCATGGTTATAAGAGATTTAAACGCATGCATTCAGTCAGAAGAAATTTGTTTTGGCCCTCCGACCTGACAGTCAACAGAGAACAACAGCTACTAGTAAATGTGATTTACCTGGATGAATCTGACTTAAGCGGAGTACATACTTTCTAAAGAAGGGCGTGATATGACCGGTATGTTCAAGTGAATCAAATGCTATCGTACGTTTAGTAGGTCGAGGATACAAGTCTGAACAAGCTATTGCAATCAACTCGAAGTTACCACCCAAATGTTTATGTCATCCAATGACTTATGTAAACTCAAGTATTATTTAGATTCAACAGCACAGTATTCCATGAAGTATTTGCCTCCTCTATTAAGATAGCTGACTGGCCAAGCGTTTAGAAGTACGTAAGTGATTGGATAACGAGGCAAAACAGAACATGACATCATGACTACTGTCAGAAGTAATGACGATTATTTTGTTGAATCAAATTCAAGACGATGGCCGCGCAATATCGTGGATCGGTGGAAGTTAGACATTAACGCCGTTGGATGTTGGTTCAGTGGTCTGGAGGTTGAGTGGTTGCGCGCGAGACTGAACGTCATGGGCTCGAG